ACAACACTTCAATAAGTGGTAGTTTTTATTCTAAAAATGTATAGAAAAGAGTACTCAGTCTTTTGTGGGTAAATTACTCATGTAACATCTAGTATGTAAAGATCAGACATGCAGTAGAAGGGCTTAAATTTTTTTTTTGTTTTTAAATGCACTAAATTTCTAGTTATGTTACAAAAACTCTAAAAATATAGAACCATGGAATGTTAGAACTGGAAGAAGAATTAGGTAACCCATAGTCAATCTGCTCCCTTTAGGAATTTGAAGGTCATAGATATTAAGAAAATTGCAAAGTTACTTTGGCATACTAAAAAATAAATATTTGGTCTTTGTCCTCAATTCAGGCACAGAGCCCCTAAAGTCCTTGGAATCTCTGGAGTGATAAAAGTATCTTTTGTATGCTAATGAGATTGACTGGTGGCTGGGGCCACTAGGTAACTTCAGGGTGGTTGGTGGCTGGTTGCCAGAGCAAACCTTGATTAGAAGCTTGGAACTTCCAAACCCACCTCCAACCTCCAGGAAGGGGAGATGGGCTGGGGATTGAGTCAATCACATCTGTTATGCTTGTGTAATGAAATCTCCATGAAAACTCCTAAATGAAGGGTTTGGAGAGCTTCCAGATTGGTAACACATCGAAGTGTTGCAAGTGTACTCCTCCCCCCATACCTTGCCCTATGATCTCTTCTGTTTGGCTGGTCATGAGTTGTAGCCTTTATAATAAACAGATGATAGTAAGTAAAGTGCTTTCCTGAGTTCTGTGAGTCATTTTAATAAATTATCAAATATGAAGCAGGGGAGGTGGGCAGTGGGAACCCCCTACTTTGTAGCCAAGTCTGTAGGACAGAAGTGTGAATAACCTGGGAACCCAGTACCTGTGACTGGCGTCTGAAATGACGGCAGTCTTTTGGAACTGAGCCCTTTACCCCGGAATCTTAGCCTCCTGGTAATTAGTGTCAGAACTGAATTGTAGGAAACCCAGCTGGTGTCAGAATTGCTTGGTGTCAGGAGGGGAAAAGCCTCAGTTACACAGCCAACATGTGGCAAACCAGAACCTGAACTCAGGTCTTCTAACTCTTTTATGTACATGTAGCACTTTATATTCGAGAAGAACATTGCCTCAGCCCTCTTAAAGAAAAAAAACATGTACAGCAGCTGCAGACTGGTAAATTCACGTTGGAGAGTTATTGTGTATATGAGAAGGGTGGGTGGCAGGGCAAAATAAAATTTCTTCCCTGATTCTGTGTCTCAACACTTATCTAACATTAAGCTTTTATTCTGTCTGCCAGGGATTGCAAATTTTTATCCTCTACACTGTGAAAACAAAAGTCTTCCAGGCTGAAGCTTCCAAAGTGTTGAAGTCCCTGTCATCATCTGCTGGGAGAGTGAAGCCGCTGCCATCCATGACCCCACTGAGGCTGCGTTTAAGGATGTACAACATGATCAGATCATTTCCAACCTTCCATGAACGCTTTAGGCTGCTGGAGCCATTTATAGTTACTGAGGAAACAACGCTCTCTGAAAGTGAGGAAACAAGGGGAGTATCTAGACAGTAAAAGTGTTACTGTTTGTGGTCCTTTTAATTCAACTTGTGTCAGTTTTCCTTTTACCTTCCTGTATTATCTAGTCCTCTTAGAAAGTCTCCCTTAATATATTTTGATTAAGGTTAAGAATCAGGTAAAACCTTTTGTTTATTAGCATCAGGAATAATGAATTTGGTAGTTTTTCTATTCAATAGATTCTTACCCGAATGAGGTAAAGAATTCTGCCCAGCATTCTAAATAATTCAAGATTTTCATTGCTTCTTATATCGTTAAGTTTGTGTGACAAACTTTGATAAAAATGTAGGACCTAAACAAATTCTTTTACAATTTACTAAAAGGGATATGAGGAGAAAAATTTACCTCTCAGAACAAAATGAATTCTGATGAACACCGAGGGGGTGTTGTTTGTATGGATCATACTTTTGATTTGTGAATATTTTAAATTTATATGTGCTTATAAGTTTATTTCTAATTAAGAATTTTGCACCAATTTAGCGTCTGGAAAGGGAATTTTTTGTTGTTGTTAAAAAAACAAACATGTTTTATGACCTGAAGAGTTGGCTCTGTGAGAAACGGGCAGTGAGACATAGAAAGATTAGATGGATACTAAAGCCTAGATATCTCCTTCCAGCTCTTGATATAGCTGCCTTTTTATTGATAAAATGACACTGAGTCTCACAAAAGGAAAAAGTTAGTGACACTTGTCCCTTGTGACTTTTAAAAGATCTAACTGCTTATGGAATTTTAAACACTTGAATTATAAATGGCTTCCTAAATAAAGAATGACCTCCATTGGAGTGGGGAGCACTCACACTGGACTTAGGAAATAGTCTTTAAATTGCTGTGTTCTGTTTTGCCATAAACTAGGCAGCTGCTGTGAGTGCACTGAACTAAGGGACTAACGAAAGTCAGGTGAGCTGTGGCATACACTTCTCACCATGCCCTAAAGTACGTGTACATGTGTTTTTTATGGAAATGGTTGTAACTGACTGTTGAATTCCTTGGCAAGCCAACAAGAACCTTTTTCATCTGTAGGATAATTACAAGATCTTACAAGATAGTGGGGAAAAAAATAAATGGAAAAGAATAAAGAAGACATGCAGTCCTCAGAGGTCAGTGTTTTTAGTAGTGTTACAGTGCTATGCCTAGATAGGGGCTGGGCCCAGAGAAAATTATAAGGTGTGGCTGATCTACTCTATGTCCTGAAACACATATTCAGATGCAAAGAAACCATAAGTAAGAGCCACTTAAAATGGGGGAAAAAAAATTCACCAAAAAGAGCCATGTTTAGCCTGAGGGTGGGGGTACACGTGTTGCCTTGGTGATTTTAGTTTTCTTTGCACTTTTTTCAGCACTCTTGGGGTACAGCAGCCAAAATTCCATAGAATGTTCCTGGAATGGCTGTGCCATAAATGAGTAAGCTCCACATGCATACTGTGGAGGCTAAATCAGGCAGCCATTGATGTCCCTACGCTGAAATCCTACCTCTAGGAAGTAATTCCATGGATTTAAGCCTTTACCTCGTGCATTGGTCAGGAATTTTTTTGTGTAGTGATAGAGATCCAACTCAAATTAGGCTAAAGGTCAAAGAAAATTTAATGGCTCAATTAATTGAAGTCCAAAGGAAGAGTTGGTTTTAGGTAGGGTGACTATACGTTCTGGTTTGCTTGGGCCAGTCCCCATTTGTGCCTGTTGTCCTGACCTAAGTATCACTAGCAGCCCCTTATGCTCACCTGGTTTGGGACATAAAACATATAATAATTGTTGTGGCTACTGACAGATTGTGAAAGCATTCACAAGGCCCGAAGGAATAGAAGTTAGAAAGTTTATTCAAGAAAAAAAGCACCGGTAGAGAAGCCACTGGGAGCAGAGTCTAGATAGAGCAGACAACTGCACTGATCTTTAGGTTAGCTTTTTTTATATAGGAAAGTGTAGGTGAATTTCCTTACAGCCTAAGTTGTGATGTCCAAACTCAGGATATTTTACATATAGACTGAGGTCATTTGATTGACATATGCCAGTTTTACAACTAATATGTATATCTTTCTGCCCTGCAACCTCCCATCAGTGTCTTCCATTGGCTGCAGCCAACCAGAAGCCAGCTGAGCCAGGAACCTGTGGGGCTCAGTCCCCAGAGATTTGGAGCAAAGCAAGGGCAGGGAGAGGAAAGGATTTAAGAACTGGCACTACTTGCTTGGTCACATGCCCACAGGCATTATGTTCAAGGACTATTGGTCCAGCCTGAGTCACTGTAAAGTGGAAGGATGGGGGGTGACTTGGTTGACAGAATATCCTGGAGTCAAGAATAGACAGTTACATCCAGGATGGGATGCTGGTAGCAAAATGTTAAGGTGCTCCCACTACCTCTCCTGACAAAATACAAGTGCCCGCAGGAAGACAGCCACTTTCAGGCTCATCAATCATTTCCCTTACTCTGAATGAGCAAGCCTATTAGATCCTTGTCTGAGCAGGGTTTGAATGGGGTGGGTAAGACAAGCTAGAAATTACTTGTTGCCTTGGAAGTTAAGGAGCAAGGACAGAGACTATAGAAGCAGAATGGTGACTTACTTAAAAAGAAAATTTCAGGAGAGGGATACACACCAAATTTTTTCTAGGGGTTAACTGTGGGGGAAGGGGAAGGAAGAGGAGAGGCGGGACCTGGGCTTGGTAGAAATTAGTCAAAGGGAACTTTGGCTCTATCTGGCATGCAATAATTTATTTTCTTTTTTATGGAAAATATACTCATGTGATACTGAGGTGGGAAGAATATTTTAAGCTCATTTAAAAATAATCTAAGCCTGCATTTAGAGTCACAAAATTTTAGAGCTGGTAGGGAATTTAGGGTTCACCTAGTCCCACCCATCCCTTGACAAAGAGCCTCAGGCCTATGTCCAGAGAGGCCAATGTCTTGCCTCAAGTCACATCACTTGTAGTTGTAACCACAACTCCCTGTCCAGAACGTTTCCTAATCTGCACTTGCTTGGTAAGTACTGTGACCAGAAAAAATAATCTTTTTTTGTTATTGCAAAGGTTCAGAAGGTCTCAACTGTTTTTATCATGGTTTTATAGCAGCTTATATCAAAGTTCAGAAAATCATCCATGTCATACTTCCACGTGTAACAAAACCCTACTTGGAAGAAGATAAGAACTGGACTGTAGTCCCCTGGGAAATATGGTTTGTAAGAGATAACAGCATTAGATCACACCGCTCTGCTTTGCTTCTATTTTTTTTCTTCTCCTTTCTTTAAAACAAACAAACAAAAAAAGCTAACATATTAAGCAATGGGATTTTTCAGAAACATGATCAATAGCTTGCAAAAAGGATTTATACTCTATTTCTACTTTTTGAAAATATTTACAAATCAGGACTCTAAAAACAAACTCCAAAGTTTATATGTTGCCATTAGTAGTATAAAATGGATGGTGGTTTCACAGGTGAGTGTACATTTGTTAAAACTCATTGTACACTTAAAGTGGGTGCATTTTATTTCATGTAAATTATATATCAATAAAGTTAACTTAAAAAGTAAGACAAACAAAAACAACAAGGCTCCTACCAAAGTCAACAAATAAAACAGAAAACTAACTCCAATAGCCAAAATCAAGGAAAACCACTTTAATATTTTTAAAACAATAAAACAAAAATGTTTTCAGTGACCCACTTGTGATACTGAAGGTTTCTGTGATGCATTAAGTGTATGTCTTTGTATATACATAGTATTGTATAACTTTGGAGTAACACTGAACATTATTGTGACTGTTTAGTGTGCACTTAGCAAACTGGCAGGCGTGGACATGAACATGCTGCATTTCCAAATTTGATAGCCTTTTTGTTAATTCAAAATAATTTGTCCTCTCATTTGGTAAATACCCAGGTGGACATTTTCAAGAAAACTTATCAATGCCAATTTCAAGTAGTGTTGGAATAACTATGTGTTTTCCCAAGAAATGTTTAATTGTTGAGATATGTGATTTGTTTGATAATGTTTCCCTTTTTATGTTGGGTGTCAGGAAGTTTTTGGTCTAGTCTATGGCCTACTCCTAACAAAAATACAAGACCATGTGACATGTTTCGTGGGTACCAATCTCATCCCTGGTTTCTTACTTTCCGGTCCTATGATTATTTTCCCTTCCTCCTGATTTTCTTCATCAGTTTTTCAGAAACTTTTATATAGTATTTTCAAATACACAATTTAATAGGTTATCTATATGTAAATAACGTCATACAGATGATGCATATGGAACACTATTTTGAATCTTTTGTGTGCGTTAATAAATAATTGCTAATAAAACCTATTCCTCTATTCTCCAAGATTCAGTGTTTTATTTTTGAGAAAAGGTCGATAGACACAAAGACTCAAAAACCATATCTGAGAGGAAAAAGTCACTTTCTGCACATGTTCTTACCCATAATGCATACAGAAAAACTCACGGGGGGGTTTTTGCTTATTGGATACCTATATTATTTTCATTTTTAATACTGTAGTAACATATAATGAAAAAATATAATTTTCCTCTGTTTTTGATTATTTCCTTAAGATAAATTCTCAGGAGCTCCTTTCTATTAGAGTTATTAGCATAGAGTCACGTTCATGGCTACAACTATAGCAAAACAACATAAAATAAAATTAGCAAAAGAAAAAGTTGCATGGGGTGAAGTCTGGAGGAAACCAGGCACAAGCTTCCAAAATTTCTCTTCCAGTGCAGTCACACACAGGCTGTGCCTAGTTCCTCCCACAATGAATTGTGACAACACATGTGAAATGTGATCCATCAGGGAAGTTAGTTTGATTCAATTTCCATGTGTTTTTTGGGTGGACTGGTCACAAAGGAGCCCTCTGCCTGGCATGTACCCAAATTCCAGACTCCCAGAAAGCAAGCAGGGGTTCAGCATAAACCACATTGTTTGTATAATTTAGGCAGAGTGCACCATTCTTATCAAGGAACAGTGGGAATGCTCCCAAAATCCAAGTTCCCAGATACCAGCTGTGGGCCAACCTTACAAGCAGGTCTTTCTAAGGATAGCAGTCTCAAGCTGCTATGTTAACTCTTTTCTGTACAGTAACACAACTTTCTGAAACTTACTTTTTTTCACTCAATAAAATGGTTTTGAGATCTAACGGTATGTGTGTGTATAAATTAATTACTCTATAGTCTTTTATTTGAAAATGACACATTAATGGGTATCTGTGTTCTCCTGTGCAAGGGTTAAACTAGAAATGGAATGGCTGGGTCATATAGGGCTGGGTATTTTAGATGTTGATAAATATTACCATACCACTCTTTAAATAATTTGTATCAATTTATGCTCCCACAACAAAATATGGGTATCTATTTTGCCATACCCTTTTCCATGAAGTGTTTTGAAACTTTTTGATTTTTATAAAATACATGAAAATGACATCTCATTGTAGCCTTACTTTGCATCTTTTATTATGAATGAGTTTTTCTTCATTGATATGGCTTTTAGAGAATGCCTTAATTATGCATTTATATGGAGGGACTAAAAGCAGGATCATTGGCATAAATGTTAAGATTAGAGATTCAAAAGCCTCCAAGTACCCAGTGTTTGATTTTACATGTATGACATCTACAGTACATCTAGATTTCTTAAAAGAGCTGAAAAAAGCTATTCTTAATTAAATGAAAAGTTGGGAGATCTCCTTATACATCTTGTGGCATTAGTCTTTCAACCTAAACTCTGAAAGAGTGCACAGAGGTAACGCGGCTCTATCTCAAGGAGACGTAAATGAAGAAAAGTGAACAATTTCAAATTACTCAGAGATAAAAACCTATACTTCTGGGAAACAAGGAACTCGCCAGTGATGGCTGCTCCCTGTATTTGGAAGCTTGCCCTATAAAATGGTGGGGAACTTAGTTTTAATTCTTTCGTTCAATAAATACTCATACATATTGAACACCTAGGAGGTGCCAGCTTCCAGGGTTACAAAATCTAGGAAGAACCGTCTTTAAGGAGCAATTTCTCTAAAGAGAGGTTGGACATAGAGCCCCATGGTAAGGCAAAAACATTTTAGGGTCTCAATGGATGTGCCTCTGGTAGGATAGACTGACGTAGTTTGCTTAGCTGGTGATAAGAATGACTC